GAGCGAGCGGCAGTGTTAAAATTAATATCAGATAAGAGAGATGGGCTACAGACTGACCCATTGATGAGTTTTACAAGAAATATTATACCAAGCATTTCCCTACGACTAGCGAGTGTAGGGAGATTTATAAGTTTTAAACGATTAGTGTAAGGGGGAAGTTTAAACTGGCATCCCAATGCAAATGATTTAAGGCAAAAAGTAAAAATTGTTTTTGAACGGACTCTGTTTTGTCAGAATGAACTTGATAACAAGGGTTCCATACCACGGAAGCATACTCTAATATAGGCCTCATCAAAGATGTAAAAAGAATTTTTGTGATAAGCGGATCTCTAAATTCTTTAGACCAATGTTTAACAAAACTAAGAGCACCTTTAACTTTAAAAACCATGGAAGATGTGTGAAGAATAGAATTGAGTTTGAGGTCCATTGTTGCTCCCAAGTCAACAAAACTGCATACTTGCTCCAACCTAAAGTTTTGTATTACGTATGAAGTAGGGTCTACAGATCTACGTGAAAAGCACATCGTTTTACATTTTTTAAGGTTCAATGGCATGTCTTTTCTAACACGCCAAGAAAATATCTTGCTCAAGTCTGTTTGCAACTGACATCTTTCGCTATTTGAAGTGAATGATTTAAAAAGTTTTACATCGTCAGCATATAATAAAAATTTTGAAAACTTAAAAGCAGATGATATGTCATTAATAAATAACAAGAACAGAATTGGACCAAGATGGCTACCTTAAGGAACGCCTGAAATAACATTGATTATGTCAGAAAGAGTATCGTTAAGTATGACTTGTTGAATTCTATTACTAAGATAAGAAGCAACCTATTTTAGAAATATTGGTTGAAAATCAAGAAGATGAAGTTTATTCATAAAAAGTTTAGGTATTACAGACAACTTTGCTATTCCCCTACAGTTTTCAATAGAACTCTTATGTAAAGGAATTATAAATGACTTTTTCCATATGGATGGAAATAAGCCTTGCATAAGAGATGAWTKAAATAGTTTTGTTAGGGGTTGGTATATATATTTGGCACATTTCTTAAGAAAGCAGGAGGGAATCATAACTGGACCGTAATTGTATCATTGTTCTTATATATTTAACTGATATAATATGTCTGCTTCGGAAATGGTAGGTGCATTAATGACAGAAATCGGACATAACTTGTGCTGATGCGGAMYATTTTTTGGAGATTTTGGAGAGTAATTGGGCCTAAAGAATTCAGCGAACATATTAGAAATGGTGTGATTGTCACTGGACATACTAGGCTTATATTTCATAGCGGACGGAAAACTGAAAATCCTGCGTTTGGAGTTGACGAAACCATAGAACAATTTTGGATTACGTATAATATTATTTTTTACTTTATTTATATAATTATTATAACATATTTTGTTAAGTTCAGCAAATTGTCGACGCAATTTAGAAATCCAGCAACTAAACCAGTTTTTTTTTTTTAAATTTAAAAGCACGAGATTTTCTATTTTTTAATTTACATAATTCTTTCGAAAACCATAAATTAGAACTCATTTTATGAGTGACAACACACTTCGGAACATATTTTTGAAATAAGTTTAAAATAGTTTCATTTAAGTGGGAAGCACTAAATTCAATATTGCCACTGTAATCTGGCCAAGTTACTTTAGAAAGTTCGTAATTAATCTTCATAAAATTAGCTTTCGCAAAGTTGAACCGAAAACAAAGGTCTTGTGTATTATTATGAGCAAAGTTGGCTATTGTTTCGATGTTAATTTCCAAGGCAGGATGATACGAGTCCTCTGACCGAACTAAAGGATCACATCGGACAACAGAGAACATTGAAGCGTTATCAACATAGACTAGATCTACGAACTAACAAAACTCGTTCGAAATTAAATTAATTTGGTTAAGACCCAACTCCGACATTTTACCTAAGAACTCGTTAAAACATAAGCGAGTACTAATAGGAATGATGTAATCATCAATAGATTTTCATGATACGCACGGTAAATTTAAATCTCCCAAAACAATCATGGAATCAGTATTATTAGTCATTGAGAAAACATTATTTATTAATGAAGCATGCTGCATATATACAGATAAATGTGTCCGAATGAGGCGGTATATAAGATAAAGGATGCACTTAAATTCTATCAAGTCTGCAAGAGAAACATCGACTTCTTCAGATGGAATTGAAGTATGAAGAGCAAACAAAACACCACCTCGTTTCTTGTTCAGCCGGTTATATCTAAGGATTTCAAATTCGCTATTGAATATTTCACTATCAAAAATGTGGGGCTTTAACCAAGTATCTGTGAAAGCGATGATTTTAAAATTATAATTGACGCTATTTAAATACAGATCGGAAAGTTTTGTATTAAGGCCTATTACATATTGATAATAAATACTCATCGAATTATTGCTAATCAGTTTTTTGTATCAACGGATTTTCTTGGCGTTTTAGTGACACCTGCGGGGGGTTTAAAACGTTTATGCTCAAATTCGGGCACAAAGACCCCAAATGGCCAGAAGAGACCAGACGAGACCTTCTCTCCTTGTGGACAAGGGGAAGAAAGATTGATGAGGTCAATATTGGGTGGAGGCATTCTTTTTAAAGAAAGCAGTGGTTTCTTCATCAGACGGAAGTTTACGTTTATTGGAAGGTTTTGGATTCACTTCCTGGTCATTTAAGCATTTAAATGATTGAAACAACGCTTCACAATGAATAAATTTATTTGTGAGGTTTTCAAGCTCACGGTCAAGCTCATTGTATAAACCTACAAGTAACAAATCTTATCATTTTCACCCATACATACGCAGGCGAAAGCTCTTATATATTACAGAAATTACATTAAGAATGGAATAGAATGAGGGAAGACTCAGGGCAAAAGCCCAGGCAGTTTGTTAGGGTTTCCTAAATATTCTACTACTAAAACGGCCGGTCTTAGAAAAGGGACGAGTGTGTTGCCGTGTTATGCTATCCAATTTATTATTTTAAGTACGTTTTCGTTAAATTTTCAAATGTATTTCGATTACTAAAATTCATAAAGATTAATTTTATCTAGTTTTGATTAAAATTTTATTTACTGTATTAAAATATTTGTAAATATATATATCTTTGTTTAAATTATTATAAATAGTTTTGTTTAGTATAATATATATTATATGGGTGAAAATAAGCCTCCGGGGGAACCTAATCAACTATTTCGATCAGGTGATCTCAGCTGCTGACGAACATATGATTCTTTTGCTACTTGTATACTTGCTTAAAAACTTTAAATAATTGAATTTCAGTTGGTCTGCATTTAATGCAAGACCAGCGCAAGCCCTTACTATCAAGAATAGAATCCAGAATTCTTCTTGTTCGTCCAGCACATTTCAGATGGGCAAGCCCGTCCCACAGGCAGCAAGAAACAAAGCGTTCCGACTCGTCTTTCACAGGACAATTCGGGAAATTGGAAGTCATAATAAGATTAAACAACAATCAAAAAAAAAAAAAGGTATTAAATCAAAAAATGTAAATAATAAAATCAGAAAGAGAAGTGATAAAAATATTTATAACAAATAAATGTAATATAAGTTATCAAAGACAACAACCAATGTAGGGAGCAGTCTGAGATGCACTGTGATACCCGAAAAGTAAGAAACTCGCAAACAGCTGTGAACAAAGGTGGAAAACGAATATAAGTTAACACCAAAAATTGCACTATTTAATTAAAATAAATTAAAATTAACAACACACAATTTAATTAAATTTCGAATCCTTTAATACAAAAATATCACAGGAATACTTATCTTTACGGTTCACGTAATTCAAAAGTATTCACTACAGTTTTAAAATATAAATTAAACAAATTTATTGGAGCTCGAAATTACACAGCTGAACACGAGAGATGCCAGATATATACGAAAAAAAGATGTCTTAACAGGATGATCAGAGCAAACACTGGACCTGAATTCAAACAAAAAAAAATTTGAGAATTTTGCTGTTGTAGCCTAACGAGATGAGATCAGGATCTAATATTCCGTATGCATCGTTGGTGTATGGATGTAATAAAAAATAAAGCCTTTAGAATGAAATATTAGTGAATCGAAAAAAATTGCTATATAAAATTAAAATTTTTATCTGGATTTTTTTCTATTTTTCCTTTAACAAACTACTATTTTCATGAACAGGAACATTTCTTAATTTTCTTTTTGAATAATTCTTGTTAGTAAAATATAAAAATAAAATAAAAATAAAACTGTGTATCTACATAGAAATATACAGAAAAAGTTAGAGATGTAAAATTCATAGTTTGTATTTTTAACTTTAATTTTGTGTTTTTAGTTAAAGCCCTCCGGCACTATTATTTCCATGAACACAACTGTTGATCCCATAATTTTTTTTAAAGAAATTATTCATTGATAAAGAACTTATTGTCCATATTCGAATTATTTGTCAAAATATTGGGATACATTTAAAAATCCTCAAATCCTTTAAAAACTAGATCAATAAATCATTTTTTTTCATATTTTAATAAACTTAAAATGAATCTTATTCGGGGTGCCTGGAGCCCTAAACCTTAATAAAAAAAAGAACATTTGTGAAATAAAATACTAAAAATTTGAAAACAAATTGATTTTAATAATTATATTACAAGTCTGCGTTGATTGCCCTAATAATTAAAAAAAAACCTTATATTTTTAATATTATACATAATACACCATAAATAATTAAAATTAGTACAAAAATTAATAATTGTTTTCCATTAAATAATCACATAAAGCAATTTTTTAATTCAATAATATGTATAAATAAAAAACTTTAAAAACTTAAAATATCTTCGTGGAAAACCGTAAGAATATATTTCCTTCTTATTTTGAATTTTTTAACCTAAACAAATAAAAGCCCAATTTATATGTATGTATGTATACCATATATGTATATTTGTTGKTATATTTTTATTATAATTATAATTACAAACCATTAGTTAAATTATATATTATTAACTAATTTTTGCTTACGCATTAATTTATAAAAAAAATATATTGTTAATTTTTTTTTTGTTTTTCGTACAAAACTAAATTAGAAAATATTATTATGTTTCCTAAAAGTGATTTAACACTAATCGTGACTAATTTGAACTCGTTTTAACTTGAGTCGGCCGCTTACAATGCAGTGTTCAAATAAACGAGTATATTTATTTATTTATTTATTTATTTATTTAAAAGAGAAACAATTATAAATAATTGCCTCACTTACGAGATAAAGCACTGGCTGTCAGGGCCTTCGGGTTAAACGAGTATAATTAAGTATATATCGAAACGTTTTAAACACTATATACAGTGTGTTAAAGGTGACGAGATTTCCCATTTAACATTTTTCTGTTTTATTATTTTCAACAATTTTGTTTTGATTTTTGTTTTTAGCTTTTGCTCTTTTTTGTTTTCTTAAATTTTCTAAAAAGCAGTTACTATTCGAAAGGCACGCGGGGTAAATTTCGCCGCATGGGAAGACTAAATAAACTCGTTATATTTCGTTTTTATTAGAAATAGTTTAGGTGTAACAATATCGTTTAATGAGTGCAGTTTTTTACAATAATAAATATATTTCCTATAATTTTCATACACAATTCGATTTAATACGTAAAAGATTATTAGTCTGCTAGTCTGTGATTTGAGTATTTTTCGTTTTATACATATCTTTTGTAATTTCTTCATTTGTATCTGGGTATTCAATATAATTTGCGGGAATTTATAAATTTTAACTGAAGCTATGTTTTAAATAAATTTCTTTTTCGTTTCTAACCTCGCTTAAGAGTTTATATTTTTAAGCATAAACCATATAAGATTTCTATAATCATAATGCTTTATATATTTTTCTCATTTTTAAAAATTATCTCTGCAATTTTCGCTACTAATAATTTGTTTACCTTTACCTCCTTCAACACTTCTGCTTGTATCACTTAAAAGTCTGGATCGTAGTCTCGCTGATAACGAGACGCTCGACTCGCATGATTGCTATTGCTACCGCTATTGTTGTTGTACGTGTACATTGGATGCGCATCCGTAAAGGCATCAGGATACTGATGATATGGGTGCTGATGCTGTGACATCGTATGTTGTTGTGGATGGTGTGGTTGTGGATTTTGTTGCTGGTGGTGGTGATGATGATTATTATTATGATGGTGACCACGTTGCAAAGAGTCACCCTTTTGTGAGTAATTAGTTTGAGAATCATACAAATAATCGCCGTGACGTGTGGAGCGCCAGCTGTCGTAGATATTAGAACCGTTGCTGTCGTGCAGGGAATTAGTGAAACGCTAGAGGGTGTTAAAAAGAGAAGTAGGGAGTATCAATTTATATTATTATTATGACAGACGCGTTTGTAGTCATATAAAATATTCCTGAATTAGTTTGAAATTACAGAATTTTTACAGCGTTTTTTTGACAGAATATATTTATAATCGATTGGTATAGTTTATATTTTAAAACTAACAGGATTTGCAATTATTAATAAAGACGAGACATTTGACGAAACTTTATAGATATTTAACTGAGTTTCATTCCTTGTAAGTTTCTCAAAACCATTTCACAATTTATGGGTCTTATAAGTTTTAATAATCTCTTTGTGATTAATATATTATATAAAGGTCGTTTCTGTGTCAGAAATACAAACGTTAATTCTCCAATTACTGACGAGGGGCGAAAATATAAGCAAGATATCATGTTGGTCGGTTCAAGGCTTTGTTCGAGGAACTTCGGAGTATTGGTGCTTTAACTTACCTTTGGTTTAATCGGTTGCTTAGTGTCGTTCCAAGCATCGTCTATGTTATAGAAATCATCGACACCATAATTATCCGCACCACCCATGTGATTGATCTTCAACTCATTTAACATATCGCTGGTTAGTGGTATGGGTGTCTTTTTGGAGCGCTTTTGTCGGTTAAGTAGCTATGGAAGTAAAACATAATTAAACATCACAAAAAAAAAAGTATTACCTATTACAAAATACTCACTACAGTCACACCAAAAATTATAACGAAGATCAATGAGCCCACACCTATTACAATTATAACAATCGCCCATTGAGGTATCAGTTGATCTTCTTCGGCAAATTCAACCATAGGTAAAAGCGGCTTGGGTATCACTGAAAAGATAAATAAAATTAAGTACTCATACATGACTCATGACGGCCTCAGTCTCATCATCACTCACCACTAAAGTCTGTGGCCGATGGATCTATAACATATTTTCCCATTAAGAATGTCTCCTTGATTAGTTTTTCCTCCTTCCCTTCGCGATATTGCGCATTATTGTTAGCGTTCTCATCCTTATTGTCGGTTTCGTTTTCCGTAACGGGTTTGTGTGCCAAGATCATCTCTGGTGGCGGGTGAGTCAAAGCATCGTGGAAGAGTTTTTTAATCTCTAAAGTGTTTACATCTTCGGTGATGTTTGCAAGTTCTACATAGTAATCCACAAGCACGCTGCCCTGGCTAAAGCTGTCAATGCGTACTTTTTTGTACCAGTGAGACAATTGCGGTGCTTTCGAGTAGACTTCGTTAAGCTGCAAGTGAAATGCAAATTAAATACACATAATTCTGACCAATAATGTACGGAAAACTTACCTCTGCCTCCACTTCATGCGCTAGATTCTTCCACTCGACTGTATTGTGATCTAGTAGTTCCGGTTTCCATGCAAGCCCATCTATAATCTTTATCGTTGCTGCGAGGTCACAATCAGACGTGCAGTGTCCGGGTTTTGTAGGTCGTGGAGTTGTGGTCGTTGTTGTTGTGGTTGTCGTCGTTGTAGTACTGGTGCTGCTGGACAAAAGTAGATCCTCAAAGTTAATACTCACCGTTCTGCTTTGTTCTAGCAATTTCTCGATGGATATGGGTGTTGTGGATGGTGTGGGCCAACCAGTGAACTCGGTAGTTGCACGTGTAGGTGGTCCTTTCTTTATGACCACTGCTGGTGAGTTGCCCACTTCGCTGGCATTATCGCCTCCAGTTGTACGCGGTGTGGTCAAACGTTGCGCGCCTATTCGTTTGTGTACGCCTTTTGGAAAGACTACCTTGAAACCAGAAGCAGCAGTAGTGCTGTCGACCCCTTCAGGTGCTGCGGAGGAGCTTGCTTCAGTAGTTGAAGCAGCTTTCTTTGCTGTCATAGAATCCTTGAAGGCTTTTACTCCGACCATTTCTATGGGTTTCTCAATGGCTGCGTTGGGTTTGTAGTCTTTCGGTAATAACTGTGAAATATCAATGCTCTCGGGAACTGGTAAGATGTCCTTAGTACTTGTCTCATTGAGTTTATAACCCGGTGGTAGAAGTTTGGAAATGTCGTTAGCCTTCAACGGTATAATACCACTGGCTAATTCATCAGTTTCATCGAAGGGTTTAGAAGGTGGTTTGTAACCAGGTGGTAAAAGCTTGCTGATGTCGTCTAGTACGGCAACAGCGGATTTCTTAGCTGGTGCTGTGGTAGTGGAAGATAATTTGTAACCCGGTGGTAAAAACTTGGAGATATCATCCACAAGCGTTACAGCTGGTTTGGCTGTCGTGACTGCTTTCTCTTTATAGTCCTTCGGCAGTAACTTTTCTAGACTATCGTCGAACTTGATTTTACTGAAGAGATCTGAGATATCGGCTTTGGTAGTGGCTTCTGTTGTGGTTGGTGGCTTATATCCTTTAGGTAAGAGACCTGCAAGAGCGACATCCTGTACAATTACAGCATTATTCTTAAATGAGCGACCAATTGTGGAGTTACGAGTTGGTTTTTTTCCTTCAGGTTCTACAACCTCTGGTGCAGCTGACGTTGTAGTAGTAATCTTACGATTTTTATACGATGGACGTGGTTTGAAACCTACTGGCAATAAGCCAGCCAATTCATCCATTTCACTCTCATCGAAATGATGCACCTTCACTTTTGAGGCGGCGGTAGTCTTTGGCTGGAACTTGCGTATATTTGGTACGAATTTCGAACCTGAGGTAGTAGTGGTGGCCTTTGTCGACACATCCATTTCGGTAATAATGGGATATTTACCAGAGAGTAGACCACTAGACAGTTCCGATTGCACACGATCTAATTTATCGATAATGCTTTCAGTTGAAGAGATCGCCACATTAGTGCTGGACTTCTCCGTTACATAAGCCATTACTTCCTCACCACTTTCTGAGACTTCGTCTATTTCCATTTCTTTATTAGTTTTTTTCGACGCTGTCTTTTGTGCATGAATTTTGCGTTCCAGCTCGGAGAGGGTCTGCTTGGTTTCCTCTTGCTCAATAGCTGGGAAAGGTAGAAATCGTGCACCATTTATACTACGACTTGTTTGTATGGAGGCGATTACAACATAACTCTCGGTTGTATTACTCATAGAATCATCATTGATTGTGGAATTGTCGGCGGCCTTTTCGACTTCAACTTCGGCTGCTTCCATTTTGTCCATTTTAGCCGGTTGTACTTTATTTTCCATAAAGATGACTTCTTCCTCATTGGAAACTGTTGTTGTACGTTGTGTGACCGGTGTAGGGTAGGCGGTTGAGCCATTCACCACGCTTTTGGTAGTCACTACTGATATGACCTCGCGATCGATAATGTCCTTATCATTTACTGGTTCTTGACTTACATCTTCCATTTCCTCAAATTCTTCATCTTCTTCGTACTCGTCTTCATCGTATTCAGCGCTACCTTCATAGTTTGCGTCTTCGTTATCGTCTGAGTGTTCTGATTCAGTTGCCTTATGATTTGCAGGCATAGAGGTAGTTGTATCGTGATTTGCAGTCGTTAGTATCTCTAATGACTCTTCAACTTCCTGATTTCTTACGATTGGCTGAGGCTGCTCTGTAGTGATCGCTGATACTTCTACTGTGGTAGAGATTGTAGTGGTGGTTTCACTCGCTGAAGTAGTCGAAGACTGTTTTTGTTTAATTTCCTTTACAGTGGCCTCTGTTGATTCTTCTTCATCCGCATATTCATACTCGTACTCCGAGCTACGATGTGTGGTGGCATCTATTGATTCGTAATTTGATACATTACTCGTGTTTTCTTCATTCACTTGCTCAACGGTCGCTTCTGATTTGTCATCATCCAATGGCAAAGCTGTTGTCTCTTCGCCCTCAGCGCTGATTGTGGACTGTGTTGTATCTGTAGTTGTTATTACTGAGACCGTTGTCTCTTCGGCTTCATGCAGTTCCAACTTTTCCTGACTTGTTTCTTTTGTGGAGCTCATATCCGCTGGGCTACCACTTTCGTCCTCGTAATATTCTTCGCTATCACTAGTGGGTGTAATGGCTGATGTCGTTTTCACAGAAGCCGTCGTAGATTGCTTCAAGAGAGCCTCCTTGACGGGCAACTTGACGCGTCCGGCAGAGAACGGTCTCTGCACTTTCGCCACATTTACGGGTTCGTTAATCTCTCGGCTAATGAAAACTGGTCGTCTAGGTTGAAAGCTGGTCGACTTATTGCTAGTAATGCGTCCAAATGTGGGACGTTGTGACGAGGTTTCAGGTGTATTATAAGGAGTTGGTTGTTGTTGTGCTTTAAGTGTATTCTGCGAACGACTTGCACCGAAGCGGTTGTATCGTTTCGTGCTAGACGCTGGCGATTCCGTGCTGGCTGAGGCAGCAGCCGAATTAGCGCTACTAGATTGGAAACGATTGCGGGTGTTTTTGAAAGATGTTTGCGAGAATGCGGACTGGCTTGAATTTGGTGATAAATCGGTATTGTAGTTCGAGCCGCTAGAAGCTGCGGCAACTGGGCGATTACGATTAGAAATGGGCACGAAGCCACTACTGCCGAAAGGTCGTTGAAACGAGCCAGATAAGCTATTTGCTGATGGGCGATTGGCGGAGGATGTAGCCTGAAAAGTTCGAAAGGTTAGTGGATTGTGAAAATTCATGATTTCCGTGCAGAGGTTACTATATCTATTTAAATATTAACTTGACCTGGGTAGCATATGTAAAACAGACGGACGGAGTAAGAGAGAGTGAAAGGGAGAATTTGTGTTTCTTCTTGAAGGTTAATTGAAATTACCGATCTCGATGTCCCAAAATTTGGGAAAGAAATAGATGAATTGTTATTGGAATAACAGTTAGGATAGAGCAACCGCCTAAACCCCCGAAAATATATCTTGATCCATTTTTAGAATTTGCGGCCTTCATAAATATATAGATTTCTATATATAAGTAGTGTTAATAAATGAAACATATTCTTGTGAAACATTATATTGAATGATGAAACGAAAAAATCTCAACGAAACTTAGTATCAGAATTTCTATATTATTCTAACAATTTATGTTTTTTTCAGTTTGAAATAATTATCGATAGAATCACTTCGATTTCCCAATATTTAAAATATAGCTTAATTGTATACCACTTCAAAAATTCTTTATGTATATTCGAAGTCAATCCCGATGTTTAAGTTCGGAATAAAAATTGCGATCGGAGTTAGCAGTTTTAGCATAGAAAATTACAATTAAAAGTAGAATAACATTCCATAAAAGGCCTTCGGTGATAATTGCTTGTCGGGAGCAAGTTGTTTTAATGGGTACACATTAGTCAAGGAGGGTCGGAAACGAGTTGACTATGAACCTCGTCCAGGACGGTCATCAAAAATAATTGATGATCTACACGTCACCAAAATAAAAGAATTTTTGCTTGTGAATCGGCGTTGAACGGTCAAAGATCTTACTGACATCGTTGGAATATCGAAAGTATTAGTGAAAACCATTTTGAGCCATCATCTGCTCCTAAGAAAAGTGAAAACACGATTGATTCCAAAATCACTCAATTTTTTCGAAAACAGCGTCGCGTTAACGTCTGTGAAAAAATGGTTTTCGACCACCATCATGTTATGCAACGTATTATTACTGGCGATGGATCTATGATTACGACCCGGAAACAGACGATCAATTGGCCGAAGCACGTCAGGTCAAAAATTGAGATTACGTTGACAGTTTTTTTCGCTTATTTAGGTTTGGTATATATGGGTATATGGCACCATTAATATTTTTAAATTTTTTTTGGTAATAAATGCGAAACTATTAGCGGCGACATGATAAATTTCAACATTGAGATCGGGATTTTGATAGCAGCTTCACAACTCTGAGAATTTCGAAACAACAGCTTCAGTTAAAGCTTTCAAACGCAATCTCTGTGCATTTTATCCTATCGCCACAGTTATATTGTTACACGTTTAGCAGCAGGGTGCGCTATAAATATTAACCCACGTTAGTTTATAAGTATGTACTATATACATATACTCTCAGTATATATTGACTGTTTGTATGTGAATTTACATATTTATGTATGTTGCTCGTTTTAATATTATTGCCGGCGTTATGCAACTCTACGAGCGTGACATTTTTTTTGACTGATTCCCTTACGCGCCCTTTGTCTACTCAGTATATGTATATTTATATATTATATATGTATAAGTATATTGTACACATATGCACATAAGTGCATAGGTAAGTATGTTACATATGTACGTTTATAAGATTGCTCCCAACAAGTCCGTTTCGCTTAGCCATGAAACAATTACCTTTAGTGCCTGACTACCTCTTCACTCAATCTGTTTGATGTTAAAGTATTGAAATACTTTAATTTTTGCTGAGTAAGCGTAGCACCTCTCTCTCCACTAATTTTTTGTGTTTCTTGCCTTTGGCACACCGCGGCGCGGCAACAAAATCGGGCTTGGCCTTAATTTATTAAAATATTATAATGAGTTGCTCTACAATTCGCGATTTTCAGGTACACACATTTTTGGTAAAACACTCATTTTGCAAGTTATTGTTGTTGCTGTTGTAAGTTTAATTACTGATAGTTTCTAAAGTTCGATAAAGAGCATTTGTTGCCGCATATCTGTACCCAAATCGGCAAAAGAAAAAACGTTTTCGTTTAGTTCTATGAATATAGTTCTATAAACTATGTTGTTTGTTAAAGCCTTTGTAACGTAGACCATATTTAGCCTGAAGTGAGTGGTCCCACCATCTCTAAAATTCCTTAACAATCACTGATTTATCGACTCCCGATGTTCTCAAATGCCAATGAGTATAACATTTCATTCTTACTTAATTAAACTTAATTCGGGTTGAGCCGCTACTTTAATGAGTTTATATGTATATGTACACTTTTTTATTTCCACTTATCTCAACTTTAACTTTCTTAACTATGGTAACTAAGATATTATTTTATATTTTATTGTTCAGCTTGGAATTCTGATTTTCACTCACCGGCTCATTAAAATGTGCCAGAAATTGTGACTGCTGATGCGGCACATTCGCGCGTACGGAACTTTGTTGTGATGGCACAAAACCTCCACCGATCGGACGTTTTGCCTTGGAACGAGAAAACCCACTGGCTGCGGTGCTGAGGCCCGTTGAAGCGGGCGAGCCAAAGGGGCGTGGTGAAATGTCGTAGTAATCGGGATTGCGGGTTTGCTGTTTGGAAAAGTAATAGAAATTTAATAGAAATTAGTACGAAGCCATATAAAGTCTTATATATAGTAAGGATTCAAGTGTTTGAATTGAATACTTGTTACAACTACAATCATATAAATTTCTTTAAAAACAAGAAAAAATGTTAACTTGGTTGCACCGAAGCTATACTACAATTCACAAATACAAACTATTCTTTACAAGAACTTTGATCGGTCAGTTTGTAAGGCAGTCTAATGCTATGGTGACTCGATCTGAAAAATTCTTCGGAGATTGCACCGTTGCAATAGCTCATACATAATTTCGTGAAGATATCTCGTCAAATAAAGAAGTTTTCCATAAAATCACTTGGATTCGATCTTTCGGTTTGTATGACAACTATATGCAACAGGGCTCCGATATAGACAAAAGAGCTACTTTTTGGCGAGAAAAGGATGAATATGATATGCTGCCTAACAATTTTTTAGTAGGTTAATACATATTTTTGATATATCTGTTCACTTATTTTAACATAAATATCACACCCGCACAACAAAACGAACTCGTTGTTCTGCTCTGTTTGCCTGTATTAGCAGCAGCAAAATGATGCATGTTGCACGTAATGACAACAAACGAGGTGCAGCGACCATACCCATTTTTCAATATACGCGTTATTTCTCCATATTTAGACTCGTATGAGCAAGTTTTCGTTGCTCTCGATTCAAATTTGTATACAAAATATATATAGGATGTACATACATACTTCGTTACCATGCGAGAACATGTCCTAGGGAAAATTTTAAATAGTGAGGTATGTATTTTTTATTTGCATATTTAATACGACTTCAGTTAATTTTAATCGATATCCTAACATAGTTGCATTACCAGCACTGTAGCTCTTAAAATGTGACATCTGCACACATATTCTCGCATTTTTTTTGGCATTTGTAGTCACACTTTAAGTAATTTAGAATATTTGTAACAAGTAATTTGTGAAATCATATGAAATCATAAATACACATTTATATATACTACATAGGTATATATATGAAGATATCTTTACCTGTTGCTTCTATACAATTTGCTGCTAAGCGGTTCATTTAAGCTAATTGAGTGCGACAAAATAATTGCTAAGCCCAGTTCTTTCTTTGTTATTGTTTGACTGCTTCATATTCGTTATTTTATTATACATATGTATATACATGCAAGTAAGCTCATAATAAATGACAATTAGAGCGTTGATATGAATTTTGCCCATGAAAACTTGGAGAAATTGGCTGTAAAATCTTCATCTAGCTTTAATGACATTGACAGATATAATAACTAAATATATAAGATTGTCAAAAAAGGCTTGCGGTATTTTCGCTAGTTGGCGCTGAGAGCGTGTAGTTCTAGTTTTATTCGTCGCATCGGGTCATGCTATACCTTTTTGGAAAGCTCATTTTACGCGCTAACACGTGTTTGATTGATTGTCGTTTCTTTTAAGCCGTTCGTGAGTTATAGCGTCGAAAACATGGTGCAAAATAAAGAGAAAATACGTCATATTTTAGAGTACTACTGCGATAAAAGCAAAAATGCATCTCAAGCCGCCAATAAAATTTGTGCAGTTTATGGACCCGATACAGTTCCCATTTCCACCGCACAACGATGGTTTCAACGTTTTCGTTCTGGTGTAAAGGTGATGCACCACGCTCCGGAAGGCCTGTCGTCGAAAATTGCCACAAAATCACTGAATTGGTCAAAAGAGACCGGCATAGTAGCAGCCAAAGCATCGGTAAAGACCTGGGCATGAGTCATCAAAAAAAATTTTAGGAACAATTGAAAATTCAATAAAAAATACCGCAAGACTTTTTTGACAAACTAATATAATAATAGATTTTAATAAAAATATATTTGAAAAATTAGTAACCACTGAGTATGGTATGTTCAGGGTTTTTATTTACAACCCCGTAGCAGCAGGGAGCCATAGCAAAGCCATAGCTTAATAATGTAAAAGTATGTACATATGTATGTTCTGAGCATGTGTAGCTGTAGCACATGAAAATTTTTATATTTCTGCTGTGCTACCGCTCCCAATATAAACTACCGCTACGCCAGAGCATAGCAATGCCCTTCATTTTTGACATTGCTGTAGCTATATTTTTTACCTAACAAAGCTCCGAGCAGAGCTATGGCTCCCGACAAAGTGAGAGCGGTAGCAATATCAAAATGAAATGCTACGAGAGTAGCGTAGTTTTTCAAACGCTTGGTATGTTATATTATATAATATTAATATTCAATATTTTTATTTTATTAATTTTTTATGAAGTTGCAACAATAATATAATTTAATTTAATGAAATATATTGAATGTTCTTTCATTCTACGCCACTTTTTAAGATTTCTGAACAATAGTAAGCAATGGTAGATATGATAGTTTTGTAAATTATATACATACATATAAACTAGTCGATCCGGCCACGCGTTGCTGTGGTATTAATTTTATTCTATTATTCATAAACGAATAAATGCAAAAACGTTTTTGACGATATAAGAATCCAGGGAATTGTACTTGTGGTTTAATTTTTAATAATACAAATAAATGTCAATGAAAAAAATAACGAATTGAAGGCTGTTTTCTCAATTGGGCTAACAGCATCTGTAATTTCTAGTTAAAAAAGGTTCTTTACCGAGAGAAGGAACCTTGGTTAAAATCACCAGAACTTCACCGACAAATTGCCGCAAACCAAACATTGAGAAAATGAAAACTTCGAGTTATGGTAGGAAATTTGATGCGATTTGCTATTGCTAATTCAAGAGTTCGAGTTATAGAAGTTTGAGTATGAAAGTTGAACTATATTATATTTTTTTGAGGGATTGTGAATACATGCGTATGTTTAGAAATATATACAGATACCGACGAACCAGACTTTCTTTTCAGTTATAAGAGTAGTCCGCTTAATATAGAGCCTATTTCTTACAGCTTTTCCTGCATTCCTTAGTTATGAATTGTTTTGACTATCCTGTCTTCTAAGTTGCTTCAAACTGGACACAGTGTGCTAAATTTTGCTAAACTCGGTTCGGTAGTTTAAGAGTCTATCGCGGACAATTAATGTGAAACATAATTTTTATATATAAAGATATGTTTATTTCAAATATTTGAGCCAACCGATGTATTCTTCAACGTTTAAATATATTTATAAATTATCCACATCTATCAACAATTAAAATTGATAGTGTTGCAATTTAATGACACACATTTGTGGCATTTATTGTAAGTTTCGCAAAATGGCAATATCGCAAAACATATGTTTTTTCTTTTTATATGCAAAGTTGCGATGTTATTTTCAGTATCACATTCAGTTGTTTACTCTTTTCTCGCGTTTTGGTTTGTATAAATAAATAAGCTCTGGGCAACCAGATGTACGACCGTTAACATCAATTATTTTAACTGAATATCAATTTTGTATACTAGTTAGTTTTTAAAATAAGGAAGTGTTAGGCTCGGGTGTAACCAACATCTGATACTCTTGTAACTTGATGACGAAAGCCAGGGACTTATTATCAGGCCTTGGCAAAACTTTATAATAACTGAAGGGGACGTATTGATCCGATTCTGCATGTATTCAACATAGGGGCATATTATTATAGGGAGAATTAAGTAATGTTAAAAGTTCGCGATAGGAACAGGACCATATATTCGCTATCTGGGGGTTTGACAATTTTTTGTCAACAGATAGAATATCACTAGGTCACTATTGGTGGAAAGTTTTGTCTTGATACATTCAAGAGTATAATTAATATTATAACAGGCGTGGTTCCCCATTTTGATGAAAATCCATATCTTTTGATCTATTCGATCGATTTGAACCGAATTCGGTAAATAATATAACCCTGGAATACCTACTTTACGGTGTCAAAATAAGCAAAATCAGACTACGCCTACTTCCCCCTTACTAACCCCCGTGCTTATAACTGACTTTCTGCCGAAACTATGGATCTACCTGTGAGATATATTATAGAAATTAGGTGGAAATATTTCTTTGATAATAATATATCCTTGTATAAAGTTTTGCCAAAACTGACTTCGAGAGGTTGCAGTGTAAAATGTGCGGTTACACCCATACAAAGCCCTTCTTTACTTGTTAAATGATTGCTTTTTTTGTCATGGCAAAATTCTTGTCAAAGAAAGTTGTATTATAAACTTAAAATTTTTATTTTAAAATTTCCCCCAACGTTGATTTCTTTGATTTGACTTTGAAAATTTCTTTTTGTAGTAAACTTGCTATCTGACAGTGACCTAGATCTTCGCCCTAGCCAATCTCATTTATTTACATTTACAGACAAACAAGTGTATCTGAGTACTAACTACTGTTTTTTGACGCATTTTCACTAAATCACAATTGAACCTTTCACTTCACTTGAAATCGCAATAAACGCAAACAATAGCAACGTGGCTTCTTGTCTGGTTTCACTCTACCGCATTTATAAAGTACTGCCGCAAAATACCTATTAAATGATGAATAAACAGCAATGAATGAAAGTACGAGATTATAACGCTAAAATAAAAATAAATAAATACGAGCTGAACGTCCGTTAGATAGCAGGTGGATTGCGGCTGGCAAAAATTTGCACTGTGAAAATTCGTAGATCCATAATTATTTTCATACATTTGTGCTTATTGTTTCAGCTGCCTTGCTTCAAACCCTTTTTGACTTTTTTGCGATTTTTTATGAATTTTGAATTGTATGCAGATTCTCTTAGGGTTTGAAATTTTATTTGCACTGGAAAACGGATTTTAATTTCTTAGCAGTTAATTGATCTGGCATAAACTTATCCTAAGCTACAAAAACTTTAGAGAAATTTGGGAAACCATTTTTAAATTAATAAAAATACTTCCACTCAGCTAGTTTTGATGAAATAACTTTAGTAGTTTTTGAGATATGCACATTACACCTATTAGAGGGCGAAGTTTTTTTTTTTAGTTTAAACACAGGTAATGGGTATTAATACACCAATGGCCAGTACTAAATTACAGATTTGTAT